CCTGCCTCTCAGATCCCCACCACTGTGTGCCAGTGGGAGAGCAGGACTGGGAGAGAGCCCAGGATAATGTGGGAACACTAGTAGGAAGACATGATAGGACAGCACTAGGAAAACAAGGAAAAGACAATTATTTAAAAAAAAAGTTGACTAAGCATCAGTGTGTCTGAGCAGCAGCTTGAGGAATCAGTGCAAAATATTTGATGAATCATTTAAATTTGAATTGAAGGAATTCAACTGCTCCATTATGAGTTTCAAGTGGAGAAAGAATTCCTTGAGGAAAGATACAAAAAAGCAGTTATTGATATAACAGGAGTATTCTTTCCTATCAAGGTTAAAGAGTGTCAGATCTGTTGGTAACACCAAGAGAATATCAAAGGATATCTCATTTACATAAACAGTGTATTGGCAATCCAGAAATACCATCCCCAGGAGTTAATTCCACAGGTTCATATTGGAAGTCAATGCTACTCCAATTGCCGGAGGCTGAGCTGGATCCTGATACCCTGGGTCTGCTCCAAGACTTTCAGCAATACTTGGCTGGACACAAAGGGGCACAGTTACATGGCTAATTACTTCCATTCCATATGGAAATTAGAAGAGGAGAAAATTATCATTATTATCCATTTGAGTACACAGTTACCTGAGTGTGGTGTGTGGCTACAGTGCTCTGTATGCAACTGCACTCTCAGTTAAACAACACCTGGATTTCTGTCTGAGTGTTAGTCCAGACTCAGCTTCAAGTGATATCCTTATACCCCACTTAAAAAGGTGATTGGGGAGTTAAGAGATTCTGGCTGGTACCTATAAATCAGTGCTTCAGACACTAAAAAAACCTAATAGGTCTGAAAATCTGTTAACCACATCCTGAATTGATCTGTACTTGCTGAACTTAATGTGTTCATGCTCAAAAGAGACCAAGAGAAACCTTGAAGAAATGGTTAATTCAGGCATTGTGTTTGAAAGGGCAAAAAGAGACAGCAGTGCACCCAGCCCTGGGAGTTAGATTTTTGGGGTTTTGGAGGTTTAGGGTTGGGGTTTTTTATTTGGTGGGGCTTTGGGGGGTTTTTTGGGGGGGGAATTTTTTTAGGGGCTTTTTTTTAGTTTCAGGTCATCTGGAGTATCTTTAAGTGCATCTCTGTGGACTCCCTAGGCAATGCAATGGACTCTGTGAATGCAGTGGGCTCTGAGTGGAGAGGCCCCTGTCTCTGCACTGTGAACAAGGGGAGACAGTTACACCTGGCAGTAAGCAATGAAGGACATCTTCCACTTTCCATTGTTCCATTCTGCTTTTACATTTGAGGAGCTTCTCAACTTCATGGGTATCAGGAAGACCTTGACAGCCAAGAATGCTTAAGGAGCCAAAGAACCTATACTGTGTTTGACTTGTCTGTGTTGAGATGTTGTGTTTCAGGTCACTGTGGGAGTGGGTTCAAGCCAACCTGTGAGACTGGCAAGGGCTGGATCACACATGGGTGCTGTAGCACATGGACTCCTTTGTTCTCCTCCTCGTGCCAGGTCAGAGGTGACTGTGCAGACTCCCTGGGACTGTAGCAGATGTGAAATAGGAGGATTTCCTATTCCATTGACAAGTAAAGACAATTTCAAAACAGCACTTACAAGTTAGGCTTATTAGTGGACTCATTTCCTTAACAGCCCCAATCATGAGGCCTGGTCTTGGCAGAAGTCAAAATTCACCTTGGCTTCACTGGGTAGGAACCTGCTTAAGCTGAAGCCCTCACAATACCACAGTGGTGTTACCCTGCTGACTCTCCATGTCGCGGTAACATGCAGCATCCACATATCAGCATGCCACCAGCAGCTCCACGTTGCACTTACAGCACCAGCTGACTTACAGTGACAGAGAAATACTAAGAGATTCTCTCTAGCAGAGGCACTACTGGAACTACCCCACCAGCAGCTGCAGTAACACACTGTCTGGCAGAAGTCCCTCCTTCCCTTAGAGAAATGGAGCTGAATTGGTTCTTGAAATGACAGCACACCTTCAAGGTGGAGTTGATCTTTACTCAAAACAATTCTTATCCATCCATCTACCTTCTAGGAAGTGTTTGGTGCTCCTTTCAAGTGGGGCCAGCCATGCAGACCCACAGAAATTTGAGTGTCACTTCCTGTGCCTGAGAATCACCAGCTCCACAGCGGTGACATTGTCCAGGTCACATGCATGAGGTTGGTTATTCCTCCAGTGTGGGCCCATAATTACCCATCCATGCCCAGAAGGGCAGGCAAGCTCTCCCGCAGCTCACAGGAAATAATTACAGAGCAGCTCACCTTCCTGCAGTACAAAACTCTTCCTGATACATCCCAGAGGCACCAGCAGCATTACTCATAGTGGGTGACGTTTCCCAGCCTGATTCTCATGCCCTGGCTCAGCCATCCATCCCACTCCCATCTGAGGCTCATCCAGCCCAGGACAGCATGTTGATGCAGGGGAGCTGGGGAGGAAGTGGTGGACACGGCTCTGGCTGTGGGAAGCAGCCTATCAAGAAATGCTTGTTTAACACATGGCAGATCAGCCTGCCTCAGGAGTGAGCTGTTTCTGTAAATCAAATAGCTCCTCATGAGTCAGGAGCCCAACCCTTTATTACAGAGTTGCATATTTTCAGAAATCACTGTAATTCAGGGATTTTTATTGTTAACATTTGTTGGCTTTCATGTACTAGCCTGAGGTGGGATCTTAGAACTGTTAAGAGCATGGGTTGTGTGTACTGCCAGCACCCAAAGGGAGTGAAAGCCTGGAAAGGGATATCAGGCAAGCCATCCTCATTTCCCAAGAGAGACAAATCAGTCTTTCTTCTCAGAATGCTTTTGAGGGCCCCTTTCCTAAAAATGACATCCACAGACTGTGAGCTCTCTGGAGGCACTACTGGAAATTATCACATATGGCTGAGAATGCTAAAATTAAATTTGTAATACTCAGCTGCTGTAATCTGCAAACAGTGCTAAGTGGTAGAAAGAGGCAGCAACCACCTTCCAAAGCTCTTTCCAACTACACACAATCAAAAGAGTCACTTGTCAGCCATAGCAAGTGCCCACTTCTGCTCAGCCCTTAGGAAGTCACACTGAGGATGATTGCCAAGCAGATCTTTATAGAAATTTCATAAAATATAATATGAAAAGTAATTATTGAGTTGTCTAGTCTAGCTACCCATCCATCTTTTAAGTGCAAAGTGAGCGATTTGCAGCAGAAGGCCAAAAGTTTAAAGTGTGTGGGAGTAACGAAAAACAGCAAAAGATGCATGAAAAAAGCTCTTTACCAACATTGCTTAGCTGCAGCAGTAATGAAAAATAAGGCTACAAATTACTTTCAGAGCTCTGTATTTCCATTGTTTTAAAAACTACAGCATCCTGCCTGCAGATAGGCTTTTCTGTTTTTTAAACACTGATTACAAATGTAAGTGCAGGTATGTGGTTGGTGTGAGAGAGCCCTTGGGGATGAGGAGCTCCACACAGGGGTGTTTCAGGAAATCTCTGTAAACCAGTGTTACCACCCCTGGGTTAATTAATTCCACAGTGGGCACTCGCTGACACAGTGTTTCATCCTACTGCAGGATGTGCCGGGAGGTTTTGGGACACAGTAAGACTAGGCTATGCACACACTGTTCCCGAGGCATGGCAATGCACCAAGAGCACTGCTGGATACTGCACATCTGCCTGTGCTGATGGGTGGGAAAGGGGGCAGCAGAGGAGAGCAGAGCTTGGCAAGTACCTGCTTGGTTGATTCATGCCCACGCACACCTGCTTATCCTACGTACGGTATGTGGTGATGTCCTCCAAGGTTATTTTGCCTGTAGGTCCCTCTGCTCGGTGTCCTGCTTGCAGACCGTGCTGATGCTCTCCTGGTCTGGGGACAATCTCCCTGGATGAGCATGCCTGTGGGGAAAAGTTCACATCCCTTAGCAGAAAGATGCATCCCAAAGGAGTCAGCAATGTATGGCACCAGTGCCTGTAGACCTTCCTCACTCTCCTGTGGGGCACATGGCAAATCCTCAACCCCCCAGTTTCATGTGCCAGGAAGGTTTAAAACTTCAAATTATTTTGAGCTGTTGCTTTCCCTGCAGAAGTTTTGTTTTGATACACACCCTTGTGTTCAGCATCTTTGCTTTGTAGTGGCTTCTGCGGTCCCTACTTGTGTATCAGAAGGAAGACTGAGCTCAATGCTCAGTTTGAGTATCTGCTCCAGACCTCATCTTTTCACATTGGGCTGGACAAACAAAATCCCCTCTGGGAAATAAAGGGTTCAGACCCACCAGACAAGAGAGACCTCCTGAAGGGCTCTCATGTAGAGTTCATGAAGAGAATAGAGCGTAAAACGAGTTTTAAAGACAAAGTAGTGCCATCAGAGGGGTGTACAGGCTCCACACAGGAGGGACCTTTCACATGTTGTCAGCTTTGAATTCAGCTTTTAAATAAAAGATTGGCCTTCAGACCAAAAAAGTGATGCCTTTTATGAGTAATAAAGCACAAAGCAATTTTTTTTTTAATGGATGAAGCTATATAAATATTCAATATAAAATAAGTTGGGTCTTTTGATTTATTGATAAACAAAATTCATATTTCATCCTGGGAAAATAACACATCATCTGGCTTCCACTGGGGAGATGCCTGAGAGACAAGGGTGTTGGTGCTCTGAGGCTGAGATTAGTTTTTGTGTATCAGGCCAGTCTGAGGGAATGTTTCATGTTTTGGACTCCAGCTCTTGTCAGAGGTGGCGGGGTGGAAGCTGACGGTCAGTATCATCGTTGGGTGTTGTGGACAGCCACGCTGAAGCAACACCGTGTTTGAGTTTTATGTGACTCACTGCATGCGAGTCCCACTCGCCGCGGGCCATGGCTCTGCTGCCCAGGCACCGTGCGCCCATCCCTGCCCCATGCAGCCCTGCATGCCCGCGGCCGGGAGCTGCAGCAGGCGCTGCCGTTGTGCCCGGACCGCGGCCGCCGTTGCCATGGTGGCGGTAGAACGGCGGTGCCCTGGGCCCGTGCTGTCACACAGCGGTTGCTGGAAGCTGCAGAGCAGCTGCAGCCAGGTCTGCCTCACACTCACCACCAGATGCAGCTCTCAGGGCACTCAAGTTTACTCTCAGCCTGACACACTCACAGCGTAACAATGTCAGCGCACTGCCAGGAACACCGCATGCAGAACCTGAGGCAGATACAGAAGCAGATGAGCCTGCTGGACCTGCGCCTGCAGATGCTCCGTGACAGACTGTGCGCAGCTCGCCATCACAGGTGTGCCCTTTGCTGCTGCATGCACCCACCCAGATGCCCGGCGAGAAGGGCCCTCTCTGCGAGACAGGATCTGGAGCGACGACTGGACAGGTAAGAGAGAGCTGCCTGCTTTCTACAGACACTGTCAACCTTTAGGGTAGGATCAAGAGATGTCTGACACTGCTGTCAGGAGTAAAGGTTGAAACAAGTAGGTTGGGAACAAAATAGCCATTTTTGAGAAATAAATTGAAAGGGATACGGGAAGGTAAAGATTGTTCTCTTGTTTTAATTCCAGAACGAGAAGACTTGGCATGATGTTGAACTCATGCTGTAATCAAAACTGTTTGTCTTTGATCAATGTGAAGGGTTTTGACCCCAAGGAAATCACTGTAGTGGTGAAAGATGGGAAGGTGACCGTGGCAGCGGAGCGCAAGGAGGAGCACAACACCTGCATGGGAAAGATAAGCAGCTACAAGAAATACATGAAGGAATTCAGCCTGCCGCCAGGGGTGTCCGAGAAGGAGGTGACCTACTCAGTGGAGTCCAACAACATCGTGGAACCACCCAAGTGCTGCCCTTATCTCTGCAACTGCTGAGCTGCAGCAGGGAGCCACCATCACTCCTCTGCTTCACCCCCTTCTCCCCATTGCATCTAGGTGTGTCCCAAGAACTGTGTCAGCAGCCTCTCTTACCTCTTCCAAAAAAGAAAGCAACACTCTGATCAGATTGTGTGAGTTTCATTTTGAAGGCGGGCAAAAAGGGGAGTGCCATCAGGAAAACACAAAAGATATTTTTGGGCATACATGACTGTGGTCACTTGCTGGGTACTGAAGGCAGGGCTGGAGGTGGTGGATTCAGGACATACAATCTCATGGATTTTAAAGGCTGAGAGGTACCACTTATGATGAGTCACACTTCTGTAAGGACACTTCTCTCAATCCTGCTTCTTCCATTTGAGCTCTAGGGTATTTCTGGGAAGAAAATATTGATGATAAACACCTTGAGGGGAGGAACCTTTTCCCAGAAAAATCAAGCTGTGCTCTTTTCCCTTGGTTTGGTTCTTGCAGTGACTGCCTGGCTGGAAAAAGCTGTGGATGAAGGACAGAGAGCTTTTCCTTAGAAAAGTTGGGATTAGGGTAGAACACTTGCCAGCTGAGGAAGGGATGACAGTATTTCCTGCTCAATCAATGGCTCCAAAATAATAAGAAAATATTTTTCATGTTGGGAGAGGGGGAAAATTGTCAATATAATTGCTTGAAGGCAATTTTAACTTTGCTGCCCTGGCCTCAGCACTTGGGTATGCACTCCTATGGGAAGTAGCATTATCTCCCACTGCAGAAAGGTGTGTAACAGAACATACCTGGTCCATTTACCAGCCACCTGGGCCAGCATCTCCCCAGTGAGCACCACCTGGTTCAGGTTTCATGAGCCTTGGGGCTGGAGGGAGGAAGGTTGCTACCTCTTCATGTGATGCAGTCCCCTGCAGCAGACTTTCCTAACAGGGAACTCAATGTTTTAGGTTGTGCTGGCACAGAATCTGATGTTCCCTAACCTGCTGGGGGAGAGGGTGGGCATCTGTGGGCCGATGCTGTGCAGGTGTGATGCACACTTGAAACTCCTGAGTGGAGTGTTGTCCCTGCCATTAGCCTGGCTGAGAAATGCAGTTGGTTGCTGTCACACATGGGGACCCTGGCCCCTGAAGGACCCTCACACCAACTGGGTCAATGTGTCCCAGTGCAGCCAAGGGGCCCCCAGTGCCAAAAGCATCCACTCAGTGCTGCAGCAGGGAATATTACCCTGGAAACACTCATGCCTAAAGAAAGCAAAGCCGAGCCTCTATGTACAGCCTGCAAGCAGACAGCCTCACTTTCACAGTTTACTTTCATCTTACTATCTTAAATTGCAATGCAAGATGTAACCAGAAGTATGTACTCTATTACCAGCTGTTAAAACCAGGTGTGTCAGTGTTCTTTATCTCTTCCACAGCCATCCTCCCTCCAGGGGAATATCCCATGTTAATGGGCCACTGAGTCTCGCTGCATGACTGATAAAATTACATCATTCCATTGGGAGATGCTCCACCCAGGGGAGGAGCCAAGCATTCCTACCTGGATATAACCTGAAACTTAAAAACACCATAGTCAACCTTTCTCCACTGCATTGCCAGAAGAAAAACCGACCCCATCTACACCACCACTAGACCTTCAGAAAAAAATCTATACCCTTCTACAAGATCATTGCTACAGCAGAACCACATCTGTCATACCAGGAGGACTGCAGCCACCATTTAATCAAACTGCTACCAACACCCCGACCAACAGAGTCCTGACTGTGTCAGAATTGGTTGTAGTCTGACTTTGTCGGTGGCTTTGGGGTTTTTTTTTTGTACTACTGCATTTTTATTTTAATTTTCCTAGTAAAAAATTATTATTCCTATTCCCATATCTTTTCCTGAAAGCCCCTTAATTTCAAAATTACAATAATTCAGAGAAGAAGTTTACATTTTTCCATTTCAAAAAAGGCTCCTGCCTTCCTCAACAGACACCTATCTATTCAAACCAAGACACTTATGAAGGTGGTGAATCGCAGAGGGTGGGTTACAGGGGGGTGAGTCCATGTCTGGGAGCACCAGGGCTGGGAGAGGCCCTTGGCTCCATCATTACCTGCTCCTGTCCTCCGGGTGGGAGCTCCTCCAGTCAAACATGTTACAAGCAGATCAGCTGAGGATCAGTTTAGCTTGGCTATAAACAGCTTGGTAATTTAACTTTGGTGCAAGAAATTAACTGCTTCTGGGATGTTTTCAACATCCAGCTACCACTTAAAATAACGCCTGTTAATAAATGTTAAACTTTATGGGCTTAGTGTACAGCTGGGTCAATACAGAACCATAGAACCATGGAATAGCTTTGGTGTTAAGGAACTTTTTGAAGATTGCCTTGTCTAATGACCCTACCACAACCAGGAACATCTTCCACAAGACCAGGTTGCTCAAACCCTATCCAACCTGGCCTCTGGGAAACCTGTTACAGTGTCTCACCACCCTCATCATCAAAAAAAATATATATATTCCTTATGTCACATTTAAATTGAACCTTTTTCAGCTTAAAGCTGCTTCTCCAGTCACTACAGGCATGGGTATAAAGTGTCTCTCCATCTTTCTTATAGATGTTGCTGATATACTGAAAGGGTGCCCATGCACGGGTAGTCTGATTTTGCTGGTGTTGGCCAAGGATGTTTAGACATAAGGCTACAAGGGATTCTCCTGTGAGAGCAGGCAGCAGGGATGGGGACTGGGGAAGGACTGGGAAAGACCATCGTCTGGGAAAGACAAAACAACCCACCGAGTAATAAAATGATACGGTTTTTGCACTTTGTAATGATTTTTACAGAAGTTGTCTGAGCGTGCAGAAGGGAAACATATTTCAACACCTCCCCACTACCCGTGACTTGCAGAAATATATCAAGTTCCACAGCAATCACAGGGCTGGCAATGACTGCTCTTATCCTTATTGCTCATCCTTTAACACATGCTCTTCACACTCAGTTCCTAAATTAGGTTCCTTACGCTCCTAAAACCAAATTACACTCTTGAGCACTTATTGACAGATATGACTTTCTGAGGAAAATTCTGAATTCATATTACATCCCATGAATTGCCAGTCTAGGCTGGTAGGTGCATCTTTGAGACCTTTTCCATAATAGAAGCAAATCACTGAAATAGTCACTTAGTTTTGTTAATACTTACATGCTGTTAACAATCTGGAACTTATCCCAAAATCTATAATAAACAAATACTGAGAGTTTTCAAGGACAGATTAACCCAGCAAGCCATAACATCATCTCCCATAAAACAAATTCATTTACCACTAGGTGGCAGATAATATTTTTTAAAATTTACCACCGTGCAACTCTTTTATTCAGAGCAAAGACACTGAGGGTGGTGTCACAAAGCAATAAGGTTGGCACACACCAGAGCTGGTATTTTTTTTCTGTTATGCTAATAGCAAGTGAAGAGGAGGGCAAGAGACAGAGCTGTTTTGTGATCCTGGGTGTGCAAGAGCTCTCAGGACAGACCACCATCACATTAGGTTACTACACTTTGATGCTGCAGCTCTCCCCCATGGAGTACAGCTCCTGGATAAGGCCACTTTAATTTGCTTCAGCAGCCTGTCTCTGCCACAGCTATCAGCCCAACAGGGGCTTCCAGTGGTTCATGTATTCTTCAGCATGTTGTTGCAACAAATTATTTTTGGGGCCAGTTTTGACCATCCTCATGCAGCAGATACTCTCTGAATTCCCTAGCATGAGGAAGATATCAGAGAGAGTGAATTTGCTCTGTAGTTCTAAATGTTAGTGCATTCTTGAACTCTAGTCTTATGGGGGCATTTATAAATAGCCAAGGAATTTGTTACGAGAGGTCATCTGAGGATGCTAAATCCAGACTTCTCCTCGGTCATCAATTTCTAGGGGTTTTCCTTCAGCCAGGAAATGCTCTGCTGTGCTCTACACAGCCTTAGGCTGTGTTGAACTGTTGTTTCTCTCCCTGCTGTTGAAAACCTGGGGAGAACGGTGCCCTCATGAGAAGGTGCAAAATGATCCCAGCTTTGCTCTCCCCTGCTGCCTTGGTGCCCTGCTGCTCCCGAGGGCACAGCTCTGCTCGGGCAGGGGGCTGCTGCTCCCAGTGGGCACTGCCCGCTTGGCAGGGCTCTTCCTGCCCAGGAATAAATGAAAAGCCTGTCACAGGGGCCAGCTCCACTCCTCACACCCCGTGTTCTTGTCCTCGGAACAGCAGCACGGTGAGGCTTTTGGCACTACCCCAGCCATGTGGGGCTGGTGCAGCGTCCCTCCACTGCACTTCCACATGAGGTGAGAAGCTTCAGCCGTCCATTGTGTTTGTGCTTAAAGTTAAATTGAACCATTGTCCTTGCTAAGCTGTTTGGCACCTTAGTCCCTTGGGTAAACTTTCCAAGCCTGTTTTCCATCATCTCCCCTGGAGAAAGCCCTGAGAGTTTAGAAGAGAGAGCAGGACCCATGTCTTCGACTCTGCCTCTGTACCAAAGACTCCACAGATTTGTTGTCATTCTGGACACTGCATTTGTCACCTCATTAATAACCTTGCACTGAATTTAGGTTAGGAGTAAGCTGATCCTTCCAGCAAACTCGGCATGACTGTCATGAAGCTGCCACCTCCATGAGCATGGGACACTGGCCCTTGCTTCTCCTATTTTACCCTGCAGGTCCTTTCTCTGGTCTCTGCAATGAAAAATGAGTTTTCCATCTCTGTCCATCTTCTAGTTCCTTCTGCCATCCCATTTGTGCCCCTCCAATTGCTGTAGGTCAGGTCTTCCTTTTGACACGTATGAGGGTTTCCTTCTTCTCTTGAAACCTCACTCTGTGTGAGAAAAGGTTTATTGTCCTGGATATTATCCTTTCAATTGCCCTGCCATGTGGTGTGAAATCATCCCCATGCAATTGTCTTTCTCGATTTCAATATTAATTACAAATAATAGCAGATCTTTCAGCTCTCTGGCTGCTTGCACTGGTCCCTCTCTTGGGGTGTTACACAGAGTCTTTAAAGGTCTGCAAGTGACAATAATGCTATAATTAAAAAATCTGAAAACAAAAAACTATCAGTCTCTACATCTCACTAGAACAGATTTTAACTTGTCAGAAAAATAAAATGCAGCTTCCTCTTTTTGGTTTGGGTTTTTTTCCATAGCT